CTACAGGTTAGAGTGCAGTGTTGTAACACCAAGGACAAGGGTTTGGGTCCCCATACAGGCCAGCCACCAAACAAACAAACAAAAAACAGTTAAATTAATTTCCCAGGACCCCAACAGCCAGGAAGTGGCAGAGGCAAGTGGTTTACAGGTCGGAGGGCCCCCCAAAACCAAGTACTCTCTACCCCTGGTCATTCTGAGATAGGCTATCCTGGCAAAGCAGTACCAGGCAATGCCTAGACCGTGACTGATGGAGGCTATCAAGTTGCAAAGGCCAAAGAGCAGGCTTTGCATCCTGAATTTACCTTGCGTAGGCAAGAGCCAGACTTTAAAAATATTTGCATTGTGCTAGGCCTCAAGCTCTTAACTTCTTTTTCAGTTTTTTCCTTTGGTCATTCCTCTGTCCTAAGCAAATGTCAGCCGTGAGACAGGCCTGAAGCCTTAACCCCATGTCAGACAGAAAGATAAGTGTGTAAACTCCTGGGCTACAGTCATCAGAACATGTCACCTGGGGAGATTGCAGAACATCCATCTTTATTTTATTTTATTTTTTTGGTGGCTGTCTGGTATGGGGATCCGAACAGAACGTCCTTCTTTAAACACAGATAACCATCTGGGATGGTTAATAAACTCCTTTGGTACCAATATTCACTAGAACAGTTGCCTTACCCAAACCCTCATAGCTGTCAAACAGTATGGGGGACAAAACATAAATGAGGGTGGGAATTTCAGTTCTGTCAAGAGACAGCTGGAAAATCAGCAAAATTGGTTTTCCAGCCTAAAATCTAAAATATGTGAGCTTTTTTTTTGGCTGGCTGGTACAGGTATCTGAACCCTTGACCTTGGTGTTATGACACCATGCTCTAACCAACTGAGCTATATATGAGCTTATTCAGTGTAATAAGGGAAGCCCAAGGAACAGAACAAAGCCTTGGTGAAAACTCCTGGAGGAGGAGGCAGATGGAAGAGGATGGTGAGATGTATTCATCCAGTAATTCCTGACCCTGAAGGCTGACCAGCTGAATCCACCCTGTGAGGCTTGGGGTGGGGACAGAGGTCATAGTCACTGTGCATGTATTTACAGAACACCTGCCATGTGCCAGCACCATGCTAGATGCTGGGAAACATCAATAAACCGAACAGAGAATCTCCGCCCTTATGAGGCCTACATTCTACTGGGAGGAGAAAGACCATAATGACAATGTGACAAATGAGTACACCATAAGGTGAAAGGTGCCACAGAGAAAAGTGACAGAGCACGGTGAGCTTGCCAGTCCTGGGGGACTTAGTTCAACATTGGATCAAATGCCACTTGTGACTAC